GAATTCTTAGGAAAGTGATTTTTCGGAATTTTTTCAAAGAATCATAACTTTTGAAAGAAGAGCTCGATCAGCACAAACTTAACTCAGTTAGTAATCAAATATAAGAAAAATTAGGATAATGGCTTTTCTGGATTTTATCGCGCAGTTTCTAGATTTTTGGAATTGTTTCTCAAAAATTCCGAATTTCGGATGTTTTCGTTCTTTCATTTTTATCTCTGCAATCTGAACATGCTGGAAAGTCGCCAGGGGACTGTTGGAAACCACATGCTTTACGCTTTCTAATAAAATTTAAACTGTGCAAAATCGTCGTGAAGGAAAGAAGTTATGATTTTTTGAAAATGGTGCGAACAAACTTTCGGTTCAACCTAATATATGAAAGGTTCTACTTTTCGGCAATTATCTCAGCGCTCGTCAAAATAGTCACAACGGAAACACAGCTGCTGGAAAGAGGAAGAAATTCTGCATCGGATAATGTTTGAACGATTTTAGAGTAGGTCTAAACGACACAAACTTTCGCACCCACCTGATAGCCTCTAAGCTATTTCTGAGAACACTACACTGGGTATATCTTCACTTTGATATTATTCTCGGGTTCTTTTACGATTTTTTGAAAATATGATACTCTCTTCTAAGTGTAATTCCGGTTACCTATACAGTATATATATTTTTGTGATAAAAAAAAAAGAACGAGACGCTTTTCTCCTTTCATCTTTCGTTTCAGTGTAACTTCCGCAAACATAAACTTAGTCTTACCAAACAGTAGCCTTCAGCACAACTCAAAGTTTTTAGCAATCAGGCACTTTGCTTTCGTCGTCCCTTCCATACTCAGCCAAGCAACGTCAAAGTTAGAAGATGAATACGAGAAGGCTCTCCAATTTTGCCGCCATCGTACCATTTCGTTCTTATGACTTATTCACGAGCCCCATTCACCAAGAAAAAAGTTACTTGTAGTGTACTAATTTTGTTAATTCGGAGATCTCTAGGCAAACAATGCTTCAACTCTTTCTCCATGCTTCATCGTTGGAAACTCCGACACTTACTATCGGCACACTTCCCAAAACCATGTTTCACCCACGTTACAATTTCATGTATAAACTTCCCATGGTCTCACAATACTTGTCATATTGCTCTTGATATTTTCACAGAATCACAGAGCATGAAACAAAATTTGAAGGATGTAAACTAACTCAGCTTGATCTGCTTTACATATTAGAATAAATCAAAAGCACAAGAGTTGAACAGTCCTCATACTGCTCCAAGCGCTAAACCTGCAAAATCTTAGTTGAAGACTGGTTTCGTTCAAAAAATGTTCATAGAGCCATCCTTGGACATAAATGGAGAAATGGCAGCCACAATTCCTTGACGCAGTTCCTGATCGTAGAGTAGGCAAGAAGGTTAACAGCTGTGGCGGTTTTATCAAGCATGACTTTACCTCAAGATTGATTTCCTTTTCTGACATTTGGTGAGGAGGTCAACGTGGTCTCGGCCTAGGGATGAAAGAAGGGGGTGGACAAATTCTCACATTATTGCATCTATGAATGCCAGAGCAGCTCAGGTCCCAACTGTACCCAACCGTCATCCGTCCAGCAGCGTTCTATGGTAGTGAGTGCTGGCCGTATGCAGAATGAGGAGCGCAAGCTCGGTGTCATGGAAACAAGGATGCTACGATGGACCTTAGGTGTCGCACTGAAAGACCACAGCTGCAATGACGCTATAGCGGCCCGAATGAAAGTAGCTCCAGCGAAGGGAGGAAAACCACATTGCGAGGCTAGTCTTGACGGAGGAAGCACCAGGCAAAAGACCTAGAGGTAGACCCAAGATGAAATGGATGGACAGGATTAAGGCCGACTTGCAAGAGCTTAGAATAGTTGAAGACATTGTCTCAAAGAGTAAAACGAGACAAATGACAAAAGCAGACCCTGCCTAAGCGAGACCTACGCGAGGATTGAAAAAAAAAGCTATAGATGTTATCAAAAATAGCTGAAATTACCGGACGTAAAAATAAGTGCACGATGAAGTGAAGTAAGGAAAGGCGCATTCATTTAGTTCATGTACGCATGTGTTACTGCCCTATTTTTACATATAAGCTGATTACTAACTTGCTTTTCTAAAAGCTATGCTCCAGTTAACGTGGAACCTGTTTCTGCGTAGAGGAAATTTATAATCAGTGTATCGACAGTCAAGATACACCGCATACTACATAAACACTGTTGAAACGGTGGTTTGTTATAAACGAACACTGAGACATCAAAGAGCAGGTGTACCTCAGTGGTTCAAAGCCCAGTGGAAAACATTCTGCCGATGTACCCATGACGTCAGAAGCAGTGGCGGTCCCAGGATTTCCGTCCGGGGGGGGGGATTCTTTTCAAATGAAGGTGCGTGGCCTTAGCCACGCACTCCGAAAAATTTTTGGGGGTGCTTCTTCAAATTTTTTTCGGGCTCAAGACCCTTAAAATCTAGAAAAAGGGGCGTGCTGACGCCACGCCCCCAGAAAAATTTTTTTACAAGGCTAATCTGAATTTTTAAAAAATTTCCCAACCTTCCCCTCTATACAGTACTATCATCTATGATCTGTTCCTACAATTAAACTCGTAAAAGTCAAAATTTATTCGCCTCTCCTAAAATTAACCCAATCTACCCATTCCCCTTCTCCATTAAAGTATTATAATTTGAAAGTTTTTGAATAGTGTGCTCGAATATTCTCCAAACTCTACAGTCAAAATCCGTTATCGTTATTCACTACTGCTCGAGTATCATGGATAGAGTGGAACATATCGAAAACGTCCATTCATATGTATGCACTCTCGTTTCTATGTCAAGCTCAAAATCTTGCCATGGTGGAGTTCATATTCTAGCCTTTTATTTATTGCAGCGCTACTTTAGTCAAGGAAGCTTTGTACAACCAAATGCAGTCTTCGCGAATTTCAACTCTACAGCACCAACATCAGAGGTGATAGTGCACACATACCTAATAACCAATTTACACTTGGTTTTCTCAAAAAAAGTGCGCATCATTGCTTATACTTTCCTCTTTCGTGTAAAGTCGCAACAACTGTAAAAAATGTTGTGCCTAAAAATTTTAGATGACAAAATCGCTATAATAAATGGATGCCTGATCATAAGGATTCGTAACCTTGCGGACCATTTTATTCAAAGAAAGTTTAGGCAACCTACTATGTTCAAGCAGTTCTAAATTGCCCATAGGTAGTTCAAGTACTTGAGCGTGTAGTTGCTCACTTTCTATTTGAAAACTTTTGCAGCGTAAGCTATGTTACTGATACATAACGCAGATGTACACATGCAATGCAGATGCTATTAGGTTGAGTCAAAAGTAGAGCGAACTTTTCGCGCACCCTTTCGAGCTTTTAGAAAATTGCTTAGAATAGTGATAGAAGAGTACCCTAAACAATATTAAACGTAGCTTTTCTTTCTCTTTTGAACAGTCAGGCCAACGTGCCAGTTGACTTCTTAGTTGTCGAAGAAAATTCTCAAATTTTAAATCTGTCATTTTTGCTTTGAGTGAGTTTAGCTAATCCTCAGAACTTTTAGTTTGAGAGTTTCAAACAAATTTGGTTATCTAAAGAGAGAGCAGGTTCTGCTTAATGCAAATCACCTCTTGAATCTTTCGAAACTAGCATTTTGAAGCTTTTTAAAATCATTTTTCCAAAAGCCCTAAAATTTCAAAAAATCGCTCAAAACAAGAATGCATCCAGAGCATTCGCTTGTTTGCATTCTACCTAGTGGTTCAAGAGAAGATACGAAATTTTCATTACTTTTGACTCACCCTAGTACAAACTGTAGGATGATCTAAATGTTTATATTCTACGCAACCTTTCTCAAATCTTTCGAAGCAGCGTTTTTCGAAGTTGTGAGACACGTCGTAATCGTTTTAGTTGGTGTCCAATGTCCGACGCAAGGATGATAGCAAAACGAAGTGGACAATTATTGTCCAACGCTTTCAGTAGTGAAATTGGATGGTTTCTAGAACGATGAGCGTAGTAAGAGATAAGCCTACGAAGAATCGACGGCGCATGTAACTCATTTTTTGCTTTTTTTCAGAAGGTTGCTCCGCCATCTTATCTGTGGAGACAATTTACGAATGTCTCTTATAATGCTGCAGGAAGATTCAGAACTGATTTGAAACTAGGCCGAATTTTTGCAAAATTCTTAGGCCACATTTCTGGGTAGACGTCTGAAACCTGCTTTGTAATGATTCATGAGTACAAAAAACCTATTATTAGTTCCAGTTCAAAAAACCACGTTGATATTTGCGAAAATGCTTAGGTGATTGGCAGATTTCCTAGAAATATTCTTCGGAACAATAGTATCAACAAAGCTTTTGCTTTTGCAGTAAATTCTTATGAAGCATTTGGGGGACGCACTTTTAAATGCAAAGCGATTGCTGCAATGTCTTCATCAAAACACTTTTGAATGTTGAACCCTCAAAAATCATGTTCTACATTTGTGGCGCGTTAATTTTTCTACAATTTCTTCTTTGGAAAAAAGCTCGGAGTAGCATGGAAAAGCAGACTGTTCAAGAAGAGGATGTCATAATACTTTTAGAAAATAGAAGATGGATGGAATTTGGGAGTAATCTATCTCATCGCTTACGAATTTGTGGGCTTCTCGCTACTCTTCGCAGAGGATAACGATAAACAAAACCGAAGGCAGATAAGGCAGACCGTTTGATATCAAGATCACCAAAAATGCGCTGCGGTGATGAGTCATAAGTGCGACTGTACCCGGGGTGAGGGGAGGGGGGGGGGGAGTACATGGAGCATAGTATTAAACGAACCCGAAAGTGGCATGAACACACATCCATCGCCGCCAGTGACGTCAGATGGAGGTGCCTGCGCTTTATTATATGGCATTATGGTGATGATGATGATTCATGCATTTAGTATCTTTAAGGCATCACCTCGCAATTCTCTTACTTTACAGAAACAGAGTGAAGAGAGAAAACTTGAGCAAAATTAACTATGCTTTCAAACTGAACATACCACTGTACCACACTCCGTGGAGTGCATTGAACGCTGCTTTGGCATCATCTTTGTTGGCTAATTTCACGAAACAAATGCCTTCTGGTGATCTGACATCAACGCCGATGTGGAGTGGGACAACGGGGTAAACTTTCTCCTTCAGTGACCTCGTTATCTCGTTTACATCCACCCTGAAAATGTGCTTCCTTGAATATGACTGGTTCAATAAAAAAGTGATATAGTATAATCAAGAATGAGTAAGCTTTCCATGGAACGCAAGTATTTCGGCACTGTTTATTTACCTATCTCGCACACACACACATCCTTTATTGTGTTGTAATCCTACCTGCTTTCGAATTCATTTTGAAGTTACTCCAGTTTAACGACGGCTGTAAGTGTGACAAATCTTGTCAAGATCTACCAACTTCGCAACAATTTTACGCGTTCTCAAAAATTACTACAGCAACTACAAAAAGGAATTTCTAGCTCGAAGACAGTCAAATACTTATTTGTAAACTTCTACTTCAAAAAGCGCAAGCTTGCTCATTATGTAGCTAGTGGTGAGTTGAACAGTATTAGTGGCCTCAGGTTTTATTGAATCTCAAGAGTATTTTGCGAGAAAATACGGAAAAACCCACTTGAGCTCACTCTAGAAGGCAAAATTGCTCTTAATGACTTTGTTCATTTCTTGCCCGCTCAACTGCGGAGATTTTCTTGTTGTCTGATTGCAAATGTTCTACAGTCAATGTCAATTATGTACTCCCTTTCGCATGGGAACTACGCATGCGCAACGCAAGGGCCCTGCGTGCGGATCCTCAATCGATGAGGCCAATCAAAAAGCCGAGCCACACGCGCGCGAACGTGGCGCAAAGCTCATTGCGCTTACAGAAAAGGAGCACATGATTGACACAGACTGTACGCCTAATCTCGCTGTACTCCGTAATCCAGATTGTTTTCATGCGCTCATTCACTGAAACGGCAGGCCATGCTTGTGCTGGAAAACTCGTTCTTGTGCCTTCCACGGCTATCATATTCTTGCGTCTATGCGTCAGATGTTCTTGCAAGCTGCCCTCTGTTTCATTTGCAGTGAGCTCTACCCAGCGGTTTGGTGCCGCGCGGCCGCCTCGTCTAGACCCAGCGCGATTGCGGGAAAAGGCTTAGAGGCGCTTCAGTCATTATTCAGGCGTGGAAAAATGAAAGCACACCCGAGAACGCGATGCAGGCCGAAGCGAGGCGGCCATGCTCGCGCTGCTCGGGTTGGCTCACTTCAGATGGGACAGATGTACACTATAATTGGGTAAGTTCAAAGTTTTTCATCGAATGAATGGATCATATATATAAAGCTGAACGTCTGTATGTCTGACTGTATTTCGGTCTGTCTGTGTGCACGTATGTTCCGAATAGAAAATTCCATTTCTGAACCGATCGGGACCAAACTTGGCACACATACACTTCGGGGTAGGGCGGGTGTCATAGGCTACTTTCCGTCATCGATCGATATCGATTTCATCGATTTTTTTGCAGAGTTCACCTACGGGGCTGGAGCTGGCACAGGGGGGTAAGTGAGCATGGGGATTCCGAATACAATATTAGTTTTCAGGATTATCGATTACTTATATCGATTTTATCGATTTTTTTGCAAAGTTTGAGCTAAGGAGCTGGGAGTTTGCACAGTGTAATCAAGCATGCTGATCACGATTACAATTAGTTTTTGAAATCATCCATTATTTTTATCGATTTTATCGATTTTCTTGCAAAGGTTGAGCTGGGCTCGGATTTGGCATAGGTGGGTAATCGAGCATGCTGATTACGAGTTTGATATTAGTTTGGCGCTATTCGGCTATCCGGGCCCCAAAATTTTTTTTGTGGTAGAGCTTGCTCAAACTTCGTGTATAAGGGTTATCTTAAGGGCCGGGCATACTTCAAGCGATTTCAATCGCGACGCGATTTGGCAATATTCCAGGTGTCCATAACTCATTGTAAGCACATTATAAATGTACAGAAGATAGGGCATTTCATCAGTTTACTTAAGTTATACACACTATGCATATGCAGTTTGCTAATGTTGGATCCGAAGACTTCTGACGAGTTGCTGAAATCGCATGGTATGCCCGGCCCTTTACATGCTGATTACAGATATCACACTTTCTCCGCAGAACGTCTTCCCGTGTGGTTACGATAGATGTACGGTAGGAAGTCAAAGTCATGAATTCGGCTGGAGTTCGGTCCATATGACTTATTCGACATGCTAATTACGAATATCACCTCTCTGCATAATGGGACCTTTTCATAGAGTTGTGATGGTTATAAGGCATGGGGTCGAAAACATAGATTTGCTTTGAACTTCATCTGGGGTAGTCATTTAGCGCGCTGAACATGAATATTATACTTGGGACCGAATCGAATAATTATTCGATCATTCGAATAAATCATTCGAATGCGAATGATTCGAAAAGTCGAATATTCGAAAATTTGAGATTTCGAATAAAATTCAAAAGTCGAATATTCGTAATTTTCAGTTTTCGAATATATTCGATAGTCGAATATTCGAAAATCTTCATTTTCGAATATTATTCGAAAGTCGAATATTCGAAAATCTTAAATTTCGAATATTATTCGATAGTCGAATATTCGAGGGTCATTCATTCGATCATTCGATGTCCATCAAATATTCGAATAATCGTCGAGCACCGAATATTCGGAAATTCGATAAGAACTGACTATTCGAAAGTACGATAAGCACCAAATATTCGAGAATTCGATATGCATAGCGTATACGGGATGTCTTAAAAGTATCTACGCACCGTTTGATCGCTAATACCTCTCAAAGTCTTTTGCCAGTTTCTGGGTAACATTCAGTAGGGATGGCTTTAGCTTATAAATACAGCAGAAAGCGAATCACCCATATTTTTCTTATTGTGTATTATCACAGTAGGAAACTCCAGCTTATAGACCAACTGCAAAATAAGACATCCAAAAAATTGCGGTGCAGCAGTGTTTTTTTTTCATGCTTTTCAAATGGCAATCACGTTTTTGAAAGGCGTTGCAAAACACTTGTTACGGTGTATCGTTTGTTCCCCAGCAATTTTTCCATAGGTACCACGTCATGTCGCTGCCTTTCGCTATTTTGAACGTGTTAACTCGGGCAGTTCCGTTGAAATTTCAAGAGAAACGTGTCAAAAAGAGCGAAAGGCAGCGTCGCACCACGTACGCACGCTGGCTCACATGGGAACTTCGGGGACACAGGATACCTGGCGTAAGTTTTGAAAAAAAAGCATTACTGTTGAGTGCAAATTCTACATAAAGTGAGTGTCTTTAGAGATCTAAAGCAAAACTTTCAGCCCTTTTGATTCTTTTTCTTGGGGAAATGGCTCTTGATGTGTTGAAACCTGCTTCAGTCTTAGGGTAATTTTACAACAGTGAAAAGCGATTGATAAATCGCCCCATACTCTAAATTGACGTCAGCCTACAGATCTACATACTGTTGGGACCGCTGTATATCCAATCGCAACTCTCAGTGAGGGTATATAATCTTCTGTTCGAACTAAAAATCTCTTCACAACCGTCACAGGAGTAGCTTTCAAGTTCCTAAGTCTCTTCACGTCACGACTAAACCGTTTTTCCATCGTAAATTGTACCATAAGAATGTGTCCATTCTTAGCACTTACATGAAACAATTTGCTCTTAGTGTTTTGGCCTTTCATAGGCAGTCTCAATGACGTGAATTATTCGGTCAGTATTCGAAAATCGAATGGTATTCGAAAGTCGAATAACATTCGAGAACCGAATAATATTCGAAATTCGAATAACGAATGATATTCGATATTCGAATATTATTCGATTCGAAATTTTCATTTTCGAATAATATTCGATAGTCGAATATTCGAAATTTCCGATTTTCGAATAATATTCGAAAGTCGAATATTCGAGAATTTTAATTTTCGAATAATATTCGATAGTCGAATATTCGAGAATTTCGACTTTCGAATATTATTCGATATTCGAATATTCGAAAAAAATTTCGAATTTCCCCAAGTATAATGAATATCATGCTGATTTCGCAGGATAATGCATTTTCTTGGGTTACGGTGGGTGTAGAGGGTCGAAGTTCCAGATTTGCTCAAAACCTTACCTGTAACGGTTCACAAGTATATCGCTTATGAATATGATGCTTGCTCGCTGTCATAACGCAATAGTGAAGTTATGGTGAGTTGCAGAGTTTGAATGGACATTATTTCGCTTTCGGGGCCAATTTAGATCCCAGATATTCAAGAGATGGGGAAACGGTCGTTTTGCATGGCGGTCTCCAGCGCCATCCTGATTACCTGTCCCAACGCGTAACGCACGCTGCAAATCTCCCGCCCCCTGTTCTTGCTTAGGCAAAAGCCGCCGAAGGGTGTTTCGCTCGCGGCAGTGGTCCTATAAGGAAATTGATAACCTGTCCCAATGCGTAACGCACGCGGCAAACCTCCCTCCCCCTGTTTTTGCTTAGGCAAACGCCGCCGAAGGGTGTCTCGCGCGCGGCGGTGGTCCTATAAGGGAAAGCATTACGGTCGTGGGGAACGTTTATACCACATGAATTGCCTTTATCGTGGGGATTGAGCACGATATTCTTGAAACACCACTTTAGGTAATTTTTTGCCAAGGTTTCAGGCAGGTTCATGATTTTTAACCGCTGCCATGTACCTACCGTAATTCCGCGAAAAGGTCTCAAAACGCAACGAGAGTGTTTTAGACGTGGTCAGAAGGTTGAATCTCTCTAGACCGAGTTTCAGCCAAAACGAGATTTCGCCCCTCTGCAGTATACCTACCATAACTCAGTGAAATCGCCTCAAAATGCCGAAGGAGTATGATATTCGTAATCAGCATGTCAATTAGCCCCCCCCCCCCCTCAAAGTTTCAGCGAAATCCATGATTTTAGCTCCTTATGTGTACCCAACGTAAACCCAGAAAATGGCGCTATATCGCGCGAAATGACTAAGATATTCGTCATCAGCGGCTTTAATAACCCCCATGTACCGACTTCGAGCAAGATCCATCACAAAAACATTTTGGGGCCGGATAGCCGAATAGCGCCATCAGTTTTCAGAATTATCCTTACTTTTACCGGTTTTATTGCTTTTTTTTTGCAGTTTGAGCTACGGGGCTGGGTGTGGTGGAGGGAGATAGGTGGGCATGCTAATTACTAACA